CTCTCTCTCTCTCTCACCCCATTTTTGCAGTCATATGCAAGTTTTCCCGCCAGCGTAAGCTCTCCACGCGCGTCGACAGACCTCTATCAGCTTCGATAAGCTAATCGGCGGTATGTGACTAAGAAAGGAGTATGACTCCCTCCACTCGATTATTCGTAATTTCATCCTCTCTCTCATGGCATTCCCCAGCCTTATCAATTTCTCTCTTTACCCGGGGTTCCATAATATCCATTGGTCGACACAAACGAGTTATCGTGCTCGCTGGACGAAAAAAAAAAAATACAAAGAGAAATGTAAACGGGAGAAGCGATAATGGTAATGGTCTTGCACGTTAGCTTTTACAGTTGGACTTTAAATAAAGGAAAACAGAGGTGCAGTGTCATCGAGGGGGCAATAATACTGTGGGGAGGCTGTGGTATCAATTGGCAATGCGTGGACACATATGTGTTCGCTATAAACTTCGTTACTGGCTAGCACAGGCTAGGCTTGACAGGCAAAAAGGGACCCTGAGTCTTAGCAGATATATAGATGTATAACATAGAGAATGTATCGCGTTCCAGGTCACCCGATTACACGAAAGGCATCTTTCAGTCGATTGGCTTCAAGGAGTTTCACAATTACCTGATTCTGCCTGAGGACGAGAGGAATAGTGAAAAGGTATGCTTGTATCAGGTTTTACCTGATAAATCTCAGTTTGTTTTACAATCATTCCTTGATTTTTATAACTATAAACATTATTCCATTGAATCTGTTACGATACGAGAAAACACACATGATAGTATCGTTTGGCGTGTGATTCATTGGTTTTATTCGATAAAGCTTTGAGAAGTGTTGACATTGCTGAGGCTTTGAAAAAGAAATACAAAAAGTGTGGAAATCATATCTGCAATTCGATTGTCAATGATGGAAGTCGCGAAGCAATTGTGCAAGTGGTTGACGTTATGATATACACTAATAGACATTTTAATTTGTGGCAACTTCGTTGATAACTGGTCCCCGTTTTTTTCAAGTTTACGAGTCACGATGCACAGCAACGTGCCTTCAATAATGTCTCGTTGGGATTTTCCCACGTGTGAAGTCCGATATCACTTTGGTGCACGCTAGTATGACGCGTCAAATCTTTATGAGTAATGCGCGGTTTTTTTTCCTGATTACAATTGTAAGCATTGCGAAAATTATAATACAGTGGAGAACGTTTGCTTCAGGGTCAAGCCTTACTCAAACAGGGCATCGAGGACTTGAAGCTTGTCACAAGGAGATATGCGAGACGCCAACAAAGATGGACTATGAATAGATTTATTAGGAGAACTGATAGACAGGTAATCGATCAAGATGCACAGTTCAAGTTCTTAGCAAACTGATTGAAAGATCTATCCAATGTAATTCAATGAACTTATGGAATATTTCTCTTTTATTTAAGGTACCACCTGTTTATGAATTGGACTGCACGAATATCGATGAATGGGATACCAAAGTACTGAAACCAGCGATAGAGATAGTGGATGCAAAACTCAGGGGAGAAAAGCCGGCACAGAAGCCCATCAATGAAAACATTGAAAATGAAAAGTGCACAGACAGCAGTAATGAAGAGGCACACTGGTGTGAGGTGAGTTGCCGTTGTGCATTCACCGTGCTGCGGCTATGTTTACACTTACATACACACACACACAAACATTTTTTTGTACCTTTTCTTCATTCATTCTTGTGTTTTTGCTTTAACGCTTGCAGATTTGTGAGAAGGTGTTAATTGGAGAATTGCAATGGCGAGGACACAAGAATGGTGCGAAACACAAAAAAATGATGGAGAAAAAAAAGATACTGATTGAGGCAGCTTTGGACCAGACTACAATACCGCCGATATTTTAGTGTGCATCGATGGAGGTTCGATTTTTTTCGAGAGAAAGAATTAACATAACACATGAGTGTTATATTTTCCTTTCGTGTTTCTTACTTCTCTTAAAGCAATGTACATACATGGTGTTGAATGTTAATATTTGCCAGTGAATAGAAGTTCTTGTAACTGAAGACTTTCGAAACACTATCTGTTACGGCAATCATCCAGTGGCTGTGATACTTGAATTATCGCTTTTCTCAGTTGATTATCGATTATTCAATTTTGTGAGCACGAATAGCAAAGTGAACTCAGAAAGACTATCGAAATGGGTTTAGAACTTTCATTGGTAATTGTGAAGAGCTCTGCTTTATCGACTGCCAATGTGGCAGTGAATAGCAAAGGAAGCATGGTACATAGACGACTGGCAGTAGATTGCCGATTGTGGAATTGTGACTGGCAGTGAATAAATTTTTGTATTTTTCAACGGCTGATTATTTATTTATGTTGACTAGCAGAGCAGATGTCAAAGGTCACCCAATCAGTTCCTATACGTGTTGGAAGATATCATTAACACGCTATTACTGTGCATGAACATATATCGCGAGTAATTACACACTATTCATGTGGTATCCTGCAATTTAATTAAATACCAAGTTGTGACTAAAACAACGTGTTATACTATGTAGCATATCGAAATTATCATTACGCAATGGTGAATTTTCTCATTCACAAATTACGACTGTATGCTATTACCCTCAACTTCACGTCATAATTTCATATGAAACCATGTAATTGAATAATCCACCGACAGCTGATTGTCAACCGTAATTATCATTACGATAAAGCTTGTGCGTCAATGTTTCAATGCATATCATGCAACATGACGTACATATATGTTTACTGTGCACGTACTCCATTTTACGTGAGTTGGGTAAAAATAATAGTTTCCGGAAATTCAATGATTTTGAAACGTCAAATATTTTATGGTTCAATGAATTGGATTTTTTTTGTACGTTTTCCGGTAACTTGGCGAATGCACGTATTTTCAAGCCATGTGTCTCACCTCGTTCCTATTATAGAACCAATAGTTTTGCTTCAACGAAATCCCCTTGTATTTTCGTCCACAGGAGGGTATAATCGCATATGGAGACTGGCTTCCTTGCATCCGCAAGCACAATATGTTGAATATCGTTCCACTGCAGAGAGCAAGCATTATCGAATCACGTGGGCCTGGATACGTTCATGCAGCTCAATACTACTTCAATCTTTTTGTTCTTATAGAAACCTCCTCAGTGACCTCCTACTGGTGAGGGGTTCCATTTTCTACAGCCGAAGCATGACACATTCATTATTATTTAGAGGGGAACTCCGATGAGTTTTGAACATCACATGTTATTCAAATCAGGATCTCCATATGTTTCCTCTATATTCTATATATGCAAAACAAATAATTAGTATGAAAAAACTCATTATTGTTTAAATTGATGTAATCGAATTAAGCAGAGGTTCGAGCCTATGCGACAGAACGCATGTGACCCTTACTTTTTGCTTTTTTAATCCTTTTCGTTTTTTTTAATTCTACCAATTCTACTCCATTCTAGATATTCAACCTTTTGATGAAATAGATTTATACAAAAGGTTAATCATTTCCGAAACTGCTCGGCCGATTGCGCCTGTCCAAAATATCAACTTTCAATGATAAAAGCTATAATGATACCAATTTTCAACTTGCTATCTTCATTTTGTCTCAAGTTATCGTGCGTACAAGAATGAAAAATAAAAAAAAACGAAACAAGCAGAGGTTCGAGCCTATCCGACAGGAGGCACGTGACCGTTACTTTTGGCGTCATTAGTCTCTTTCTTTTTTTTATTCTACAGGAAAATATTCAAACTTTTTGTGAAATGGATTCATACAAAAGGTTAAATATCTCCGAAACTGCTGGGCCGGTTGCGCCTATCTAAAATACCAATCTTGAGTATTATAAGAGCTAGGATCATACCGAATTTCAAATTGCTAGCTCCATTTTTCTCAAGTTATCGTGCGTGCAAAAGTTTTCATGAAGAAACGGAAAAACAGCACTATCTTCAAACTTTGTATTAAAGGGTATGTATATTTTGATGGATCCAGGAAAAAAAGATTTTTATTATAATAATTGGGTATACTGAACCATTTTTTTGACTTTATCTTTTTAGGTTTCTATACGGCTAACGGACAACAAACAATGAGTTTTTGCACACTAATAATCAACTTTTGGAGACCCTGAATATAGGAGAAGCATATGAATATCAGTTCAATAACCCGTGATGGTCAGAACTCACCAAAGTCTCCCCTCAACGTGAAAATGAAAAAATGAAATCCATTAAATTTCATGCAATCAGAAATGATTTATACATTGAAAAGAAAGCTCAATCAATGATAAGAATGATTGATCATAGAAAAATATTATCGAATAATTTTCAATCTTTGATCTATCACCTTTCACTCTTCCAAGTAACCCGATCAATACTCGTAATTCTTGAAAAATAAAGGGAGTGCTATGATGGATTTTCTAGGAAATTGCATAATTTTCTGCGTTTTTTCAGAAAACCCGAGAATTTTCCCTGATTTTCTTAGATTTTGAGTCTAGGTTCATTTCAACGAATGAAAGAGAATCAAATTTATGCCATTCGCAACAAAGGAAAATGAAAGAAATTGAAATTTATGAGATTCATAAAAGTAAATAATGAATGAAAACCCCGAGAAGGAAGAATTAATTAATTCCGTGCATGATAAACATGAGAAAATGAACAATGATTACAAAAGAATAATTTGCGAGTTTGAAGAATTTAAATATACATCGTGTTTTTTCTGGCCTAATTTCATTCGATTCATTGATCAATCAAAATTCAGGGATACCGGACAGATAGTTTCGATATAATTTAATGTGAAACAACTTCACGATACGTTGATCTTGTAGAAAAAGGATTTTGTTCCTACTAGCCCGGGCGCACTGTTTCTTTTGAAATTATTAAAACTTCGTTATAATTTTATGTGAAAATGAAAAAGTGAAATTCACCACATTTCATCCACTCAGCAATGCATTTTAGAAATCAATGATACATAGAAAGTAAGACTCACTGAATGATAGAAATGAATGATAAGAGAAGAATAATTGAATAATTTTGAATTTCTTCAATCACCTTCCAATTTACTGATAAAAAAAGGTTTCCATTTTCAAAGTAACTGGATCAATTCCGTAATTGTTGAAGACTAAGGGCAGTGTTATAAATTTATTTTCTAGGAAAATGGATAAATTACTCGAAATTATCAAAACATTCGAGAATCTTTTCAAATTTTCGGTAGTAATAGCCCAAGACTTTCGAAAAGACCCTTAAGCAACTAAGTTATCTGGAAATATCCTATGGATTTTGAAGGTTGAGGCATATTCAGAGGAGAATTTCCTTCCTCCTGAGTTCGACCAATCAGAGTGCAGTGGTCGATGTCCTGTGGCACCTTACAGGCAGGGTTGCCAGATTTTGGCGATTTATAGCCAAAACCTGTACAATTTTAAATGGGGTGACGTCACGATCTGGTAACACTGCTTACAGGAACATCTCACAGAAGTAAAAAAAAAGATTAATCTTGATATCAATTTCTGGTGAAGAATCCTGGCCAAATCGACTCATTTTGAATGACTCTTTATGTTGAATCAAATCAACACAACTTCACACAACCTTTTTTCAGAAATTTAAATGTGAAAATCAGAGAGAACAATTGACAGGCACCTGTGGAATTATTGTCATTTTTATAATTCACTAGTAGCCCAGTAAATTATCAGTAGTAATACCCCAAACAAATGAGAGTGCCAAGTTTTGCAGGTTAAAAAATCCCCAGTACGAAGGATGAGTGATTTTTGCTGAAAAACATGACGAGTTCGTTTGCATGCAGGGAATCTTGAAGAAAATACCTGATTAATTTTGAATCTTGAGTGGTATTCGGAAGAGAATTTTTCCATCCAAATTTCGACCAAGAGAATTGTACTATGAAACAAAATCCATCTGTCGGTTTCATGTTTTTGAGACCGTTCAACTTCCAGGTTTTACGGGCAAAGGCCCGTAACTTTATCTCTTGTAACCCTTAAGAGGTCGCGCTTTTCCAGCATCTCACTCGCTCTACAGTGGCGTCCTATAGGTTGCGTATGGTTTAGCGGGGATTCCGAGGGGCTATGCACAGACGAATTGGGTGACACCGCGATTACAAAATGTAATCGATTACCCAGGATTACGGGACTGATTACACTGATTACCATTGTCCATGTGACAACCGTGATTACCAAGGGCACAGAATGTGATTACATGATTACAAATGATTTCGTCGATTACATTCTGTGATTACCAAACATCTGTAATCATGGAAATCACAAAAAATGGCCTCTTACTAAATATGAATTGATGGAATAATTAATCATTAGAACATGCAAAGAAATGAGGAAGGAGGGACGGGGATTATAACAGAGGAATGCAGTCTCCATCACTCCATCTAAAAATTTGGGCATTTATAAGTGCTATCAGCAACATAAATCTACTGAATATCTATCATTGATGGAGAATGAAACTTACCAGTAGATAATTCAGAGATAATTCAGTCGTTGGTTCTCCAGAATGAGAAGAAATTTCACTCCTGTTGAATCAATTTTCTACGGACAAATACTCTGTGCAAAACGCATTGGTTATGCAAGGTTCTGAACCATAAACATCTGGGATTCCAAGAAAAATTGATCCAGGGATCTTTGAGACTTACCGTTGGTAGAAATGACGCGCTCGAAAATTCAAAAACAAAATTCACGGCCTCGTTGCTAGGAGCAACTACGAAAGATTACACTGATTACAAATAATTACAGTGGTTACAAATGATTACCACTTGATTACCAAAACTTGATTACAAATATGGTAATCATGTGATTACAATGATTACATTGATTTCACTGGGATTGCAATTGATTACATCAGTGAGTGACACCATGATTACGCCTGTGAATAGCCCCTCGGGGCATTCCCTCACGATGCGACCACTCAAGGGTTAATCGGGACGTTTCATTTATTAGGAGGTAGATAATATAGAAAAGAACCGCCCGTTATCCCTCTTAATTATGATTTTTCTTTAATAGTGGGAGTCGATTGTAAAAATTATAAAATTAGATATATAGAAAAAAAACTGGCCATTATCTCTCTTCATTAGGATTTTTTTCTTTAACAGTGGGAATCGATTGCAAAGCTTATAAAATTAGAGAGAGACACTTTTTGAGCTATCATCGGTTCACGGCAATTCAGGGACTCACTCGCGCAGAAAATTTTTTGTTTTTCACATATACATCAACATGAAAAATTACCAGTGGAATTATCAAAAATTATCAGCTGAATACCGTGTTGACAATATAAAATAACAGTTTAATAGTGCAATTCTATTGGCTGAAAGTTGAATGGGAAAAATTCTCAAAATAAAAC